GCTTTTTTTTGTGGCACTGGAGTAAATGCTGGGCTCTCAACATGTATGTCAGACCTTTTTTTTTTTTTTTTTTTTTTTTTTTTTTTTAGCTTTTGAAGTAGGGTCTTACGAAGTTTCCCAGGCTGGGCTTGAACTTGTCCTTCTGCCTCAACCTTTCAGAATATTGGGATCATGAGCCTATGGCACCATGCCCAGTTCGTAATAATTACTACAAAGCCTTTGCCTACTAATTCTGTTGTCTTTCAGGACCTTTTTTTTAAAATCAGATTTTATTTGTACATTTTAGATATACATACTGATCACATTGATCACAGAGAATTTGTACTTGTACTTGATATAACTTGGTTCTTTTTTTCCCATTCCTCTCCTTTCCCTTCAACCCCTCCTCCCCTCCCAATTTACAAAAGCTTTGTTTTAATTTTTTCCTTCTTTTTTCACTTTTTTTAACCTTTCCTTTTTTCATTTTCCCCTCTTCCCTCCCTAGCTCCCCTCCCCATTTGAACATTTTCTTCTTATTTCATGATACCTATTATATATTTTGGTCTTTATTTATATTTCCAGTTTCTCACACCAGAGAAACAATTCAGTATTTATATGTGTGTCCAATTTATTTCAGTAAAGAATATGTTCTCAAGGTTCATCCATTTACCTAGGAGTGTCTCAAGCTTATCCTTCTGAATCTGTTTTGTTTTTGTTTTCATTTTTTGTCTTTTTTGAGGCAGGGTTTCACTACGCGATTCAGGCTGGCCTTGAACTCACTATGTAGTCCAGGCTGGTTTCAAACTTGTGGCACTCCTCTTGTCTCAGCCTCCTGAGTGCTGGGCTACATCTGTTTTTAATCAGTTAATCGTTCCTCTCATTTGGGGTAGTATTTTCCCATGTTTTGCACACTTAATAAGTATAGATTGGGCTCCAGACATTGTGAATTTAATGTTGTTTGGTGCTGGATTTCTTTGTATTCCTGTGAATATTTTTGAGCCTTGTTCAGGAACATAGTTAAGTTACTTGGAAACAGATTGATCCTTTGCTTTCAAGTGCCATTTAGCAAGAGCAGAACAACCTTTGGTCGAGGCCTAACTCCATCTCACCACTGACAGGATTCCTTTCCGAGGACTCTGCTGGTCTGCTTGCTGCCCCGTGTGTCAGCCAGCGTCAAGGCAGGAGGCAGAAACCACATGATACTTTGAACAGGGAAAGTTTAAGGTAAAGAATTATTAACCGTAACAAAGGATTAGAGTCCTAAGGGATTGGCTAGGAAGTCAGCAGAACTCTAACTGAATATAGCAATTGCTGGGTGTGCCTGAAATCTTACTACTCAGGAGATTGAGACAGGATGACCACTTGAGCCCAGGAGTTCAGGGCCAGTGGAGGCAACTCTCAGCACACACACACACCAACACAACACAAAACCTGTGATTTTGGGTGAGACTTTTCTCCCAACATGATCTTGTTTGCTTTTCAAACAGACTTTATTGGGTCTTCAATCTCGCTGCAATCACTAACATAAACACTCTTGCAGGGCAGAGGATGGAACTGAGTTCAGCAGGAGGGAACAAGGTCCTGGACTCTATCCCCAGCACCACAAACCAATCAAGCAGCAAACAAACCCCTCTCCTGTATACTGCCTTCTATAACATCCTTCTGTTTACAAAGGGGACGCTGAGCCAGCCCAGTAGCATGTAGCTGCAGTTCCAGCTATTTGGGAGGCTGAGGCAGGAGATTTATTTGAGCCCTGGAGTTTGAGACCAGCCAGGGCAACATAGTGAACCCCATATCAAAAAAAAAAAAAAAAGAAAAAAAAGAAAAAAGAGGGGCAAGCTATCTCTTTTACCTTCTTTAATAATTAATTAATTATATTATAAAATTAATGCATAATTTATCTTATTACAGTGGCACAATTATAGTTTTTTCTTTTTTCTGTTTTGTTTTGTTTTGAAACAAGGTCTCACTATGTAGTTCTATTATAGATAGCTCAGTTAGATAAGAACATTATAGATAGACAGGGCTGGGCCCCTGAGAAAGTCAGTACAGAGGATGAGAATACCTTACAACTATGGCTAGAGGCACATCCAATGAAGGCCAGGCCTCACGCCTACATGCCTTGCCAAGGGATAAGCAATATACTATAATTGGTATCACCTGGCCCAATAAAGTCTAGACTTCAGTCACCCACATAGGTGACCAGGACCTCCTGACTCATCTCTTTAAAAAAAAAAAAAACCCTGTTCTTTCCATGGACACTTGCTATGTGACTTGCTTCCCACTGGGCCATTACCTAAGTGGCTATACTTGTAATCTTATTGTTTTTTGTTTTTTTTTTTCCGGTACCGGGAATTGAACTCATGACCTCACACTTGCCAGGCAGGTGCTGCGCCCCTGAGCTAAATTCCCAGCCCCTTATTGTTTTTTTTGATCTTAGTGTTTTTCCCGTGTTGTGCTCACCTAGTGATTGTGCACCCACTTCGTGATTTTGCTCTATAAAACTTCCTCTGGAAAGTGGGCTACATGGCGACCCATTCGGGCCCTCTCCTGTCCCACAGGAGCTGTCTTTCGCAGTTAAGTTTTCCCACTCTTGTTCCTTAGAATTCATTCTTCGATTTTTGCTGAGTTCATACTCAGCATATCTGACATCTGGCAGATTGGGAATTATACCATTTCCCTTATATCATTTGGAATCCTACATCAGTTCAGACTGGCCTTGAACACACTATGTAGTCCAGACTGTCCTTGAACTCAAAGTGATCCTCCTGCTTCAGTTTCCTAAATCCTGGGATTAAGGACGTGTGCCACCACGCCCAGCAGCACATTATATAGTTTTTGGTGTTTTTTTTTTGTACTGGGAATCGAACTCAGGACCTTGCGTTTGCCAGGCAGGCCCTTGTGCTGCTGAGCTATATCCCCGGCCCATATGATATAGTTTTAAAAAGCCAAATAGAACTGGGCAACTTTGGGAGTTTTTTGTTTTGGCTTTTTGTTTGTTTGTTTGCTTTGTTTTTTGCTTTTGTTTTGAGATAGGGTCTCACTACATAGTTCAAGCTGGTCTTGAAAGCAAAGTGATCCTCCTGATTCAGCCTCCTGAGTGCTAGGACTTGGTACTAAGCAACTGTTTTTGTTTTGTTTTGTTTTTTTCCGGTACCGGGAATCGAACTCAGGGCCTTACGCTTGCCAGGCAGGCGCTGTGCCGCTGAGCTAAATCCCCAGCCCCGGGGACTAAGCAACTTTGATGGGAAAATAATAGTTCCTACCACACTCCTTCCTAGCTCCTAGTGTGATTCACAGAGGCCACCAACTCAAACCTTCTCGTTTTTCTTCTGACACTTACCTTCATATTACTAGATAACATGCTGTGCTGCTGACTTTTATGTTTTTTTTTTCTTCTTTTCGAAGTTAGAGTTTCTTGCCTTTTCCCCGGGGGGTGAAGTTTAGTTCTTTCTGTCCTAACTCTCAATGCACAGACCACACCTCCTTTACTCCCGATCCTCTCAATAAAGTTAAATGCAAAATTTGGGCTCTATTTAGCGTTTAGATGGTTATGACACGGTAACAATCATTTAGCTGAGCTGTGTCCTACACTGTGATTCATTCTTTTTCTTTAAAAAACATTTTATCTTCTTTGGAGCTACTGATTAACCAGAAAGACCAACAATGGAATAGAGAAACGGCCAAAGAACCCAAACAGTTCACAGAAAGGAAATGCAAATGGCTTTTAAATTTTTAAAAAGATGTTCAGTCTCACACAGAAGATAAATGAAAATTAAAACTACACTGAGATAGCATTTCTCATTTATCAGCTTGGCAGAAATCCAGGAGTTTACAACACAGTCTGTTGCGATGGCTCTTGGGAACAGACATTTTCACACCCTGCCGTGGGGAGTGGAAGCGGGGTAGCTGCAGGGAGGGAGGTTTGGAGACAGCAACACACAGAATTACCGCTGCGTTCACTTTTAACCTGGCAGTGTCACTGCTGGGGCCGACGTGTGACTCCGCACACAGTTTAACGACGTGTGTGCATGGTGATTCACTGTACCGGCCATTTTCAATAGGAAAGTATTGAAAACAACCTAACAGTCCTTCTGTGGGTGACCGGTTAAATAAATTACTTGCCCCCCCCCCCATGGGGCACTCAGACTGAGGAACAAGGAAGCTCTCAAAGAAAGTGCTTCAGGGTGTGTTCTAAAGGGAAGACCTCAGAGTGGAGAACAAAGTGCATATTATGCAGGAAAAATAAGGGAGAAAAGTACTGTGAGTATACGGAACACTATCAAACAGCACACTTTCAAGGGCTAAGATGGGCAGTTTTATATGTCTTTTTTTTGTCTTCTTTGAGTCAGGGTCTCACTATGCAGTTCAGGGTGGACTTGAGCTCACTTTGTAGCCCAGGCTGGTCTCAAACTCACAATGATCCTCCTGCCTCAGCCTCCTGAGTGCTGGGATTACAGGCATGAGCCACCACACCCGGCTATTTGTCTTTTTTAAATCACAAAAACAATGATCCACTGGAAGTATATTTAAAGAATTAATTAAAAAAAAAGTTGCTGCAGTATAGGTCTATGCCACCATGCCCAGCTTTATTTCACTTTTTAAAATCATTTTGATTTTTGAACCATGGGAATATTACCCATTGAAATGAATTGAAGTTTTTCATGCTTGTATAATGTATTTTAGGGATTTTAAATTTTATTACTAACTCCTCACTACCCTTTCCAGAAAGCCGATGTGTCTAGCACTACATAGTGAGACCCTATCTAAAAAAAAAATAAAACTAAAGTAAAAAAATAAAATTTCAGTTCTTGGGAAGTTTCTTTTTTGTTTCTTTGATAACTTCCTCCCATCTTTTTTTTTTTTTTTTTTTTAATCTTTTTGGGACAGGGTCTTGCTATGCAGTTCAGGCTGCCCTTGAACTCACTTTGTAGCCCAGGCTGGTTTTGAACTCGCAATTATTCTCCTGCCCTCAGCCTCCCGAGTGCTGGGATTATAGGCGTGCGCTGCCACGCTGGGTCTTCCTCCCATCTTGTCTTGTTCCTTCGGTTATGCTAGTTGACTGTTCAATCTCTTGAGCCAGTTCTCTAATTTTTAGTTTTTCTTCCCAGTTCCCCAGCATCTTATCTAGTTAGTCTGCTTTCTTGGAGATTTCCTTGGTTAGACTTCCCATTCTTTGATTAATCATCTTTAATAACCTATATTTATTTTATTATTATTCTTGGGTTTTTGTTTTTTTTTTTTTAATGTATGTGGTGCTCGGGATCGAACCCAGGGCCTTGTGCATCCAAGGCAAGAGCTCTGCCACTGAGCCACATCCCCAGCCCGAGAATTTTATTTTTTTAATATAATCTTCCTGTCATCTCATGAATTCTCTCTTACCCCTCAGAAAATATGAATTATTTTACCCCTTTCCTTACCTCTTTCCTGGGGAGGTACTGGGCCTTGAAGCCAGGGCTGTATGCTGAGTGACACTCTCAGCCCTTAATTACCATTTTAAGTTTTCTTCTGCTCTCAGCATCACACCTCTTTCTTTGGGATTCCTTTCTCTATGTTCTGTTTTGTTTTGTTTGGTACCTGGAATCAAACTCATGACCTCCCGGTTGCCAGGCAGGCGCTTGTACCACCGAGCCATATCCCCAGGCCCCTTTCTCTGTGTTTTGATCCCCCTGGAGGCCTCAAATGCTCTCTGCCCTGAGCTACCCATTCACATTCCAGGATAGCACAGACTGAGCCTGCTCTGTGACTGCACCGCCGTGGCACATGTGCTCCTAGCAAAGCACTTAGGTCAGTTTTGTTTACAGATAGAGTTCTGCCGGCTAGATATCATCTGGCCCAGGGTAGGCTCTCAGTAAGTATTTGCAGAAGAAAGGAAGCCATGGAGGAAATAATAAAAGGACATTTAGTGCCTTTCCCTTCTGTTCTAAATGTTGATCTTTTGTCTGGGACCATTCTTTGGGCTTTTTTTTTTCCCCAGAAAAAAAAAGGAATCGCTGTTCTCACTCCTGGGAGCTTAACCTTGGCTTTCAGGCAGCAGGTAGGAGAAAGAAACAGTGGTCACACAGTTCTGCATACCTGTTGGTTTGGTTTGGGGCACTAGGGAGGGAAGCCGGTGTCTGGAGCATGCTGGACAAGTGCTCTCCCACCAAGCTACACTGCAGCCCAGGGGGTTATTTTTACCTATGAGCTCCTCAAAGCCATTTGCCATTCGTTCCTAAGGGTGGAGTCATGCCCTTGCTGTTTGTTTGTTTGTTTGTTTGTTTTTGGTTTTTCTCCGGTTATAGGAACCGAACTCACGACCTTGCGCTTGCCAGGCAGGCGCTTTTGCAGCTGAGCTAAATCCCCAGCCCGCCCTTGCTGTTTTTTTAAAAGTCCTACTCTGTGTTGGGTACCTTTCTCTAGCAAAGCACTATTGTCTCTGCAGTAGGGAATTATGTCCCTGCTCCTTGAGTTTCTAATCTACTGAGAAGAAATATTAAATAGGCAGAAAAGAACATATATACAGAGAGAGAGAGAGAGAGAGAGTGATGGGGCCTCTGAACCTGTGGGTTCCACATCCTGGTATTCAACAACCATAGATCCAAAATACCTGGGTGGAAAAACTGTGTCTGTACTGAACATGTATGTATTACTTTCTTGTTGTTGTTCTCTAAACAATACAGCCTGCCGAGCACAGTGATGCACAACTGTAATCCCAGCACTCGGGAAGGTGAGGCAGGAGGCTCTCTGCAAGTTTGAGGCCAGCCTGGACTACAAAGTGAACTCTGAGGACATCTTCTGGGGAACACGTGTCCTAAGGCCATCTGCGGCTGGCTGATCCCTTTCCAAAAAGGACCACAGCTTCACTCATGTGATTCCCAAACTTAAACCAAAACACTCCGTGGGAATGTAGGTGTCATCAGCCCAGTCAGCCCAGCCTCTGCCTCACGTCACGTACACACTGAACACGCTATATGCCATGTCATTCACCACCATCACGAGCCACCCTGGCGGACTTTGGCCTTAGTGGACTTTGTTCATGGGCCAGTTTCACAATGATTCATGAAGTAATGCTAGAGTTCACACACTTGAGCAAACAACATCCTGGGGTCTTCTAGAGCTTAGTGCCGTCCTTGTTCTTTTTTCTTCTTTCTTTTTCTTCTTCTTCTTTTTTTTTTTTTTTTTGAGACATAGTCTCGCTATGTAGTCCAGGCTGGCTTCAAACTTGCAGCAATCCTCCTGCCTCAGCCTCCTGAGTGCTGGGAATTACAGGCCTGTGCCCCTATGCCGAATACCTTCCTTGTTCTTGTCTGAACACCGTGTCTTTGTCACTCCATAGCTAAGAGTTTAGGAATCAGATCACAACCCCAGAGTCTCCAGGTCAATTCCAACTGTGCTTTGGGGAAGGACACCCTTGGTGCTGTAAACCTGGGTAGATGCTGCTTGGGCGCTATGGGCAGAGGCCTTGGGTGCTGGCAGGGTCACTGCCCACCCAGAGCAGCAGTGTGGGAATCAGAATCTGGTCCTGCAGAATGTGGGCCCGAAGCACATGGCGCTGCGTGCTGGCTGGGGGCACTGACCCTCCAGTACCTCCATGAGGACGCCAGTTTCACCCTTAGGGAACTGCAGTGGGGGTTCATGTGACAGGCCAAGCAAAGCACCTGTGTGCCTGGTGCATCACAGCTGCTCTAAGTGGTCATAGCTGCTCTAAGCTGCTCTAAGTGTCACCAATCAGTAAAAGTGACACTGCTTCCTATATGCCAAGCAAGTGCCAAGTCATGAGGGCCACGGGAGTTCAGAGGGTGGAGCTGTCACCAAGCTGTCTTTCATGGAGGATATGGAACTTCACGCAGTGCTTTTGGATAAACCACAGAACTTCCAGTTGATCCTAGCACTCTGGAAAGCTGAGGCAGAAGGATCACAATTTCAACTTAGCCTGGGATATTTAGTGAGAGCCTGTCTCAATTTTTTTTTTTTTTTTTTTTTTTGTCTTTTTGAGACAGAGTCTTGCTATGCAGTTCAGGGTGGCCTTGAACTCGCAACGATCCTCCTGCCTCAGCCTCCCAAGTGCTGGGATTACAGGTGTGTGTCACCACATCCCGCTCAAAATTTAAAAAAAAAATTTTTTTAAAGGGCTGGGCCCGGTGTGACACCTGTAATCCCAGCACTCACAGAGGCTAAGGCAGTAGGATCACCCCAAATTCAAGGCCAGCCTAGGCTACATAGTGAGTTCAAAGCCAACCTGAACTACAGAGTAAGACCATGTCTCAAAAAACCAAAAAAAGGGACTGGGGCTATCGCTCAGTTTGAAGACCCTGAGTTCAATACCCAGTACAATACTAGCATGCACACGAGCACGAACACTGACACTAATACTGATACTAACACTAATACTAACAGTATGTAGTTTAGTGCAAAGTCTCTGGGTCCAACCCCTAGTGCCGCCCCCTCAATAAAACCAAAGCCAAAACAAAACAAACAAAAAACCCTGAGCTTCTAGGTAAATAATAAATTTTCAAAAATATACATATGTCTCAAATATTATATCCGACATAATATAGCAAAAAATGATTCATTGTTTCTCTGAAACTGGCTGTCCCAGCAGCCTAAACTTGGAGGAAGGGCAGCCTACGTGGGCTGTGGGAGACACTGGTGGGACCTGAGACCCCATGCCTGTGCTGTGAGCCAACAGGCACCGTGCCCAGCAGCTTGCAGGAGCCTCTGCACCCCTGGGCAGGGAGACGTATTAGTCCTTACGCTTTAAGGTGGGTGGAACCGGCTCAAGACCGCTGCTGGTTCATATTTTAACCCCAGCTCTGCCTGGAGCCTCTGCACTTGTTTTTCCCATGGCCCATACCCCGGGGGCAGCAGGCAAGCAAAGGAAAGGGCGTAAATACCCACCTTCATGGGAGCCCACCCAGGCCTGGCCCAGTGCCCTGCATACAGACTCGCTATAGAACACCAGTGATCTGCAGATCTCTCTCTCTCTCTCTGTAATTTGTTTTTGAAAGCCTAACACAATAACTAGACTTATAGATTGCCACTCCCTTAACATTTCCATTTAATGAGGCGACATTTTGGACTCCTTTGAATTATTCATCTGAATCAAGTGTTCCTTCCAGGCTTGGCTTCATGTTCCACAGTTCCTGTGCCCGGCAGCCACTGCAGGGGAACAGTGCCCACGGTTGCAGTGTCCCCATCCTGCACCAGGTGGAGCCCAGGAAACTGCATGGAGAAGACAAGTTTGCCCCTACAGATCTTCTTGTCCCCACAGATGCTGTCTCTGGAAGATTTTCTAGCATGATAGAAAATGTATCACGTGGCATATTTACGTGGCATAACAACAGTCAAATAAAACCATGTTTTCTTCAAATTACATTTTGAATTGCACCAGCTCTAAATTCAGCACAATTATATCTATATTCTAAATCAGGGATGGCGATCCTTTTAAAGACCAAGTGCCCAAACCCAAAACCCACTTATGTATTGCAAAGGGCCAACACTGCAATTAAACCTGAACACTGAGGTTTTAGTTTAGAAAAAGACAACTCATACATTAACATCTTTTGTCTTAAAAGAGAAACTCAATAACACGAGTGCCGTAGGTTCAGGCCAGCCTGAACTATACAACAAAACCCTGTCTCAAAAAAAGAAAAGAAAAGAAAAAACCAAGTGTGGTGGGGCACCTCTGTAATCCCAGCACCCGGGAGGCTGAGCCAGGAGGATTGTTGTGAGTTCGAGGCCAGCGTGGGCTGCAAAGTGAGCTTAAGGCCAGCCTGAACTGCATAGCCAGACCCTGTCTCCAAAAGACAAAAAAAGCAAGAAAGAAAGGGAGAAAGAAAGAAAAATATCCTCAAGCAACCAGGCAAGGTGGCCCATATCTATAATCTGGGAGGTTCAGGCAGGAAGATCACAATTCAAGCCCAGCCTGGGCAATTTGGTGACTCAGGGAGACCTTATCTTGAAAAATAAAAAGGACTGGGGGATGTCTCAGAGTGAAAGCCCTGGGTTCAACCTCCAGTACAAAAAAAAAAAACAAAAACAAAACAACAACAAAAAAACCCAGTCTAATTCAGTAGACACCGACCGAGCACCAGCCCCCTGCTGGGCACATGAAGCAGCAGAGATGGCATCAGCACTGACTGAGAGACACCGAGTTCTGCCTTCAAAGGACGTGCCGGGGGGAGTGGACACATACCCAGCCGAATTTCAGAAGAGAAGGAACAAAGTAAACACAGTAGAATACAAAATGTCACGCGGCCCAGAAGAGGGAGTGATTAATTCGCACTGTGGGGGGGTGGTAGGGAGCCAGGCAGGCGGCATGAGTCGGGCTCTGACAGCTGGCGAAGGCTCCCAGGCAGCGGGAACAGCGAAAGCAAGGTAGAAGGCCACCATGCACCGGGCCCATCCTCTCTCTTGCCTGGCGGCCACCGCTGCGTCCTGCTGTACTCTAATGATGACGTGTTGTCCAGTATGATCACACCTACTTGCTTCAGAAGGAAAAATCACATACCTGCATTATTAGCCCGCAAGGCCTAGCTAATGATTTATAATATGGTGACTTTTAAAAAGATGCTAATTTCTCAGACTCAGTAAACCACCCTCCCGAGGCCGAGGCCCTTTACGCGCATTCCAACACCAGGAACACACACCAGACCAACAACAGACCCCTTTTCTTGCCGATGCTTGGGGGCTACACAGCATCTCCACCTCTCCCTCCCTCGTTAACACGTCTTCCAGGCCACACACGCACATGTGTTACCACCGCCCGGAACACAGCGCCAGACAGGAAACACACTGGGAGGATTTTAAACAATTTTAAAATGTGCCTTCAAATTTTACAGCTTGCTTTACTTGCCCGAGGGAGGAACCCAGCCCCTTACATAAATATCACCCCAAGCAGGCCTGCTTTACATCCCACCCAGCTCGGGGAGCTGTTTTCTGTGTGAGGCTGGGGATGGGGGTGCTGTTTATTTTGATTTTTTTCCCCCATTTCATCTGTGTCTTCTGTGATCACTGGCTGTTTTAATCATGTTTATTTTATAGGCACTGCCGGTAGCCAGGGGAGAGGAGGTGCAGTCCTTGCTTCCCAATCAGACTGAGATGAAGCCGTTGGCAGGTCTGCTGGGCCTGCAAGGAACTATCTCAAAGAAAGGGTGTTCAGGTTGTGAATGGGGCAGTTCCTAGCATCGGGGCAGCTGGGGACAGAGGAAAGGCCCTCTAGGCCTGAGGTGAGCTGAACCTCCTCTCCTCCACAGGAGGCCCCAGGACACCACTCGGCTTCCTTGCCTCCCATCCCTCCAACCATTGGCCAACTGGGTCTGCAATGAACTGTGTTTGTTCTGGTTGGTTTGTTGTATTTCACCACCCTCACTGAAGCATACTTTTCAAACAATAATATTCACACATCTTAAGCACAGTTGGCCCTCCATGTCTGTGGGTTTCTCATCTGTGGCTTCAACTGACTGCAGATGGAAAATATTTGGGAAAAAGTCATGTCTGTGCTGAATATGTACAGACTCTTTTCTTGTCATTATTTCTTAAATAATCCATCCTGACAACCATTCACACAGCATTTACCTTGCGTTAGGTAGTATAAGTAATCTAGAGATGATCTGAAATACACGGAGGGTGGGGAGGATGAGCAGAGATTGTATACAAATTCTACACCATCTGATGTGAGGGACTTGCACGTCCTCGAGGAGCCCTGGGACTGATCCCCCTCAGTTCACGGGGATGATGTATGCCCGTCAGTCATGACTTGACAGATGCATACACCTCTGTAACCACCGCCCAAATGAGGCAAAGGACACTGTCATCTCTGAAGGGGCGCCCCAGTCTCCACCATCCCCATTCCCAATTTCATCTCAGTCAACCACTGAACTGCCTTCTGTCACTATAGGTTAGATTTACTGGTTCACAAATCACTGTTTCTCGTGGTGCTTTGGGGGTCTGACGTCACCCAAAGCCCTGCCACCTGGAATCGTATCTAGGTATATCTGGCGACACACAGAGATGTTGGTTGGTGGGTTGGTTTTTCAGAAGAGAGTTCTGTTGAAACAGTTTCTGTAAAAGACCAGGATGAGCCAGGCATGGTGGCGCATACCTGTAAAAACAGCACTCAGGAGGCTGAGGCAGGGGAATTGCCACAAGTTCAAAGCCAGCCTGAAAAAGTGAGACCCTTTCACAAACAAAAAAACTAGTGAGATCTTGTCCCAAATAGAGAACAAAGAGAGAGAGAGAGAGAGAGACCAAGATGAGACTCTAAAAGTGAGGACCTGGAGTATGTGTTTGGCCTGGTAGAGCCTGGGCCGGGAAGAGATGGCTGGCTTTGATGAGGCCTGGAGCCTCAAGGGTTGATCACTCTGGTGACCAAGTGCAGCCCAGAGTTTGAGAGAGAACTCGCTCCAGCCTGGGCTGGAACCCAGCAGCCAGAGCCCAGCAGGGTCCTCAGCCCCATCTCATCAGACAGGGCTGCCCTTGCCCAGGGCAGGGAGGTTGCTTTCCTTACTCAAGCTTTCTGCAGAAGGACGGCTGGACTGTGTCCCAGGAGGGACTGCAGCGAGGCATTCACAGCGAGCCTGATGTCTGCGTGAGCACTGGGGTCAAAAACCAAGCAGCCAGCGCTGAACACCCCGCAGGAGTAGGCCGGCAGGAGGGCCCGTGGAAGCTCAGCGGCAAAGTCCTCATCTTTACAAAGAGCTAGGAATCCCACTGTAGCCCAGCGAGATGGCAAACATACACCGCCGTCCTCAGCCAGCCCCACGCAGGAGCACACTGCACCCACCCACCTGGCAGAACAGAGGCTCCCTTTAGCAATGAGACAACGTTTATGAGCCCACAGGAAGTGCCCTGGGGGACCATCAGTGGTATCTGAAGGGGACCTTGCAGAACACTGGAGGTCTCAGGGTAGCAGATGGATTGGAATTTGCTGCTATCCCTGTGAGCCCTATGCAAGGAAAATCCTAATAATTACCATAATGACAGTTAATCCCCAGGTCTCTGCATATGCCAGACACACCAGCCCTTCCAAGTACTTTACATACATTATCTCATTTAATCCTCACGATCGTATGGGTGGGCACTGCTATTATTACCCTCATTTCATAAATGAGAACTAGAGGTAGCACTGTTTGCCCCGCATCATGACCTAGTGAGTGATGGAGCTGGGACTGGAACCTCTGGAGCCGGTGAGGCAGGGGAGCAGATTACCTGGGAACCGGCACTCAGGACTGTCCCAGGTCACCTTCTCTTGCCATCTCCCTCCCCAGCTCCACTCCTCCTTTGCCAAGATGAGCTCTTGCCCTCTGCCCTTAATCTTATCTCCTCCTGTTCCTCCTGGGGTCTAGATCCTCAGTTTACCCCGTAGAGAAAAGCCTTTTCTCTATAGGGTAACTCCTCTATAACTGGGCTCAGGTTTCCCCACCCAAGTATAAAAACTCTTTCCCTCTGTTCTGAACCCTTCCTGAGGTACCATGTTCCCTCCCCAACACCTCGCCAAGCTCCTCTGCTTGTCTACCTTTCATCCCCTTCTGGGAACTGAAGCCCCATTTTCTGGGGCTAGCGGTGTAGCTTGGTGGTAGAGTGTGGCCCTATCTGGCATGCACAAGATCCACGGTTCAGCCCCTAGAACCACAAAAAGAAAAGGCCCTCTGTCCCTTGGGGGACCCCCTGAACCTTCAGGCCACATGGTTTGGGGGGATCACCCCCTTTCTTGGGCCCGGTAGTGCACACATGTCCTGAGCCTGGCCAACGCCAGTACAGCAGCTCGAGCCCCGGGTTTGGCTACGGAATGGCCCCTGTAGCCAGGACAGGACAACACGACCTCCTGGGGCTCTGGCTGAACGGGGAGAATCGCTCCTTCCTTACTGGTAATGGAGGTGATAGGATGCCGGCCAGAAGCCTGGCAAACATACCTGGCCCCTCCCTCCTGACCACTGCCTGGCCCTTGTAGGCAGTATATAGCAACCCCAGGGTCTCAAATCCCAATGCTGTGCTCCATCTCCAGAGCTCAAAGGAGTGTTTCCGAGGCTAGCCTGAACTACACAGAGACCTTTGTCTCAAAAAAAAACAAAAAACAAAACAAAACAAAAATGTAGCGTTCCCAGTCCAGGTCCTGATTTGTAACTTTCAACCCATTCTTCAGGAATTCCCAAACACTTAAAATTTAACCCAATGCAGTAAACCTCTGCGTCCTTCCCCCAAATGCAGGCCTGTGATGATTTCCCTGCTGTTGATGGAATCTCCAACCTCTCAGCTCCCAGGCTTCAGAACCTGGTGCCACTTCTGACTCAAGTTCTGGTTCGCCAGGCACAGGCTCTGACCACAAGTCACTTCCGGCAGAAAAAGAATTCACTGGAAGGAAACTGAGTAATTCA